GGCCACAGGCATGGAGGGCGAAAGCGACAAATAGTAATCAGCATCAACAATACACCGTCGAGTTGTATGTATGTATGTGTGTATGTGTTGTACATCTAGAACATCCATCTCACTTCGCGGTGGCTGGACCGCCTCCTGATGCCATACATACATACATACATACATACATACATATGGATACTCATAAGAGGCGTGCGGAATGCACAAACACACGCTTACACACCAAAAAAAAGGTCCCATCCACCGACACACTCCCCCACCCAACACACACACACATACATACGAACATACATACACGTACGCATCCCTACCTGCAACCTCGCCCGCTCCTCGTCCGTGGCGGAGTCCGCATTCCGGCGGAGCACCACCAAATTGAGGTGGTTGTCCCCCTCAAGGTAGGTGTCGTCGTCCAGGGCCTGCCGTACAGCAGCAACCCCACAGCAGCTTCCAACAGTTTAAAAAATAAACTCAAACCAACGGCACATCAAGGACACATCAACTTGTTAGTTAATTAAAAAAAAGCATGCTGAATCCCCAAATATAAACGTAAAAGCACACACATACATACAATCACACACGTCATGTGCAATTCTGTCGGCCGTATCAGGTCCAACCATGGCTTCCTGTGAAGACGGGGCCAGCAGCCGGACCCCCTCTTCCCCTCCTACACCCCCCCCCTTCCTCCCCATGCAACACATGATGCCCAATTGCGGCCCCATGTCCTCTCTCCCCCCCCGGCCGCTTCATTCGTCAGTGGTTCGTCTGAACTCCCGGTCGCCAGGCGGTACCGAGCACCGCACGCGCTCCCGGCCAATATACACACACACACCCTTCCAACCCCCCGGGACCTATTCCCCTCCCGTCGCCCTAGGGCCTTATCACAAACTAATTACCGCTTATCACAAAACAACCCCATCCTCCACCAACCACATATATACACACATACGTACATACATACATACATACATACATACATACATACATACATACATACCTCCAGGGAATCCTGATGTATTATAACACGGCATTACAGTAAACACATATACACATACACACATACACATATACAGATATACATATACATATAAATATAAACATAAGTATAAATATAAATACAAACCAAAAATATATTATTATAAAGACCCCCGGACTCCCCACCTCCACTGAGGTGGTCCATCCGCTGTTGTAGTCAGCCGCACGGTGCTCCAGAACCCCCTGCTCCACATTGTACGACAGAAGGGATACGGAGCGCATCAAGTCGCCCACCACCACGAGGTTGCCGCTGCGTGCGGGGCATGTGTTTGCCACGTGTGTGCGCGTGTTGGGGGGGACCCGCACCAGAGGCGGCGAGGGGCGGCGCGTGTAAGGGGATGGGGTGAGTTTTTTAGAGGAGAGCAGATACGGGAATACGGGATATAACCTCCCCCTCCACATGGCGGAGAGGAGCCACTTGCATCATTCGCTGAATACACATCATAACGCAGCCTGCTTAATGAGAGGCACTCACACCGGGGAACCAACTTCGCCTCACACCACCTCACACCACCTCACCTCAGCTCAACACACCACCGTACCGGGAGGCCACTTCAGCAACCCAACCGCGACCCCCACCACCTTATATACCCCAAGACGGGCCTTGGCGGTAGGGGCCCAGCGCTAACGATGAACTATCTTAAGGGGTAACCTACCGTGTGGCTAGGTACAGCGCCAGGATGTTGCCTAGATAGGAGCACTCAGAAGCCAGCTCCACCCGGCTGCCGCCGCCGTTGCCGCCGCCACCGCCACCGCCACCGCCAGCCGGGGCGGCGCCGCCGGCGGCCCCGCCAGCTCCGTCCCTCGTCACCCAGCGGTACACCGTCACCTGGATCCCACACCACGTCACCGTCGCCGTTCAGCACCACCACCACCGTCACACACGGGGTCACCACCGGGGTCACTAGGACGACACGACGGCATCAGATAGCTAGCCGGGGGGACTCCATACGCGGGATGGTTTGTGCCTGGGAGTGAGAGAGCTGTTTTGCTGTTTGTTGTTTTATTTTGGGATGGGAGGTCGTCCTCATACAACAACCCGTCAAACAGCAGCCTTCAGGGATAATAAAATACATCTCTCCTCACATCGCCTTCTGACGGGTTTTCCGGTGCGGTGTCCTCTGTGTGTCCTCTGTGTGTCCTCTGTGTGTAGGGCACCGAGTGGATCTGCAGACGGGAGTGTACCCCCCCCTCCAGGCCATGCGTCATCCACAACAACCCATAACGCACACACGCACACACACACATTGTACAGCATACACGTCATGGATATGACAAAACAAAGGCCTCTAGTATCTGCAAATAAATCACTCTCGCGGGCCTTTTTCTGCATCTTCTTCCTCGCGCAGCTTAGGGTTTTTTTGGAGGACTTCGCCTCGAGAGGCTCCCTTCCTCCTTCCCTCCTCGCGACTTGGTATCGTGCGGACATGCACCAGTTCGGCCGTGTATGTCGGAACCGCCGACATACACGACATGCGGACGTACACGTTGAGCATTTTGGCATTCGAACGGCTTTCCAAGGGTGGCCCTGAAGGGGGCATCACATACTGTACACACACACACAGGCACACACGCACACACACACACACCACCCAAATCACACCCGGATGCGGGCACCTTGCTGTTGACGGAGGCTAAGATCTTGTCCTTGACGAAAGGGAGCACGTTGTACGCGGCTCCCTTGACCTCCTTCTCGGTGACAAGGCGCACCTGTACGACACGTACAGTTAAGATTTAGTACCGTACATAAACAGAGGAGCCCTCTTTCCACTTAACCCCCCCGACACACCCGACCAAAGCACGCAGCGCCTCCAACCCCCCACCGGCATCTCCACCACCACCACAACGATCCCCAGCACACACACACACATAACCACACATATATGCACACACACAACCCGCTGTGCGCTCTTTTTGGGGCTCCCGACTTTCTTACACTCCGAAAGGCCCCTCAAGCGCCGTACCGTGCTCTGCCCCGCAGCTGATCCCGGTACGTGCTCCAGAACCAGAATGCGGCCTTTCGTGGGCTCCGGCTCCTCCGGTACGATAAATGCCGTACCCACGAGAAAACACGCGTTCAAGGCGCCCACCTGTGCGGCCGAGTATCCGTTTGTGCAAACGCATGTGTACGTCTGTTTTATAAAATCATAAACTGAGGCGCGAGAAAATACATACATACAGGCAGGCGGCTGGCAGAAGTTAAGGCCTGACTTCTGCTCCCAGTCGATCCAGTCGACCCGGGTTCAAATCCGCCTGCCAGCTCCTCGGGTGTTTGAGGAGTGATGAAATGGGAGGTGGCCCCCCATCATATGGACGGTGTAGGACGTGATAATATCAACTTGCGAGCTGACCAGGTACTAAGTTGATGCGCCGTTGATCCGCTAGATTTGGTTGGATGCTGGTGGTGAGTTGCCGAACCCAACGAATACATTCTGAAGTCGGATGGGGTGACGGATTAGGGGGCCCCTCTAGCAGGGGAGAGCAGGGACTGCCCCGGGAAAGGGGGCCGCTGGCGAAGTTAACCACCCTGTAACAACATACATACAGGCTGAAGAAGGAACCTCCTGAACCCAACACTACACAAGCACCCCTACCTCCCCGCCTCCGCCTCCTCCTCCTCCTCCTGCTCCTCCAATAACACCCAAGCCGGGGGCAACGGCAGCCGTCCCGTTCGAACTCCCAGGCCAGGCCGCCAGACTGCACGGCATCTCGCCGGGCGCCAGCGCGTACGATGCCACGACGTCGAACGTCGTGTCGTCCAGCAGACGCAGGAAGCTGCGTTCGCTGCCGTCACTGTCCTGTACGGCCGCCATCGTACGGTGTACGGTTGGAGAGGGGTGGCGAAGGCAAAAGGTGGCGGAGGTAAAAGCCGTGCAACAGCAGCAGCAACACCACGGCTTTGCGTGCGTTTCTTGAGTTGGGTTGTTCATTGTGCGTGCGACTTGGGAATGAGGAGCTAGTGGGGTTCTGTACGGCAGACACATATTCAGAGTCCAGGGCTGCGGCGACTGCGAATCGGGCGCCAGAAGCTAAGGGCCTAGGAGCTCCTCCGAACTGCCGCGACCAATATGCGAGTACCATTTATGCGCCAGCACACAAAACATCACACACAAAATACAAACAACCGTAAGCTCCGAAACCTCATCTCCACCCCCCACGCGCCGAACCGTCTTATGCATGTCAACCTGCCGTTCTGGGCCCTTACCCCCAGCCTGCAACATGTCCCCCGTTTCCAAAGCCCCAAAAGAGGGCCCCCCTAGAACACCGCCCATTCCAGGGCCCTCTATACACACACACGCACGCACACACACACTGTGCGCCCTGCCCCTTTCCCCCTTTTCCCCCCCCCCCCGCCCTCTCTGGGCTCCCTTCTCCCACCAGCCTCATGGTCAGCACGCCCAGCATCCTGGCCCCCTCGTGGTGGGCGATACGGCGGGGGTTCTCCCCCAGCGGGACAGCTCGCACGTGCAGCTTCTGAATCTCGTCCGCGGTGCCGATGGTGAGTGCGCCCTCTGACGCCACTGCCAGGCTACGAGGGAAGGCCGCCGAGTGGAAGGAGGCCAGGAAGGCAACCTGGAGGGGGGAAGGGGGGAATACGAGGGAGGGGAGGGGGGTAATGGGGCGGTCATTCCGGACAGGAGTATACACACACACCACGCAACCCCCCACGCGACTGACGCCTTATACACAACACACACACACACACACGCACGTTAGCAGCAATATTGCATTTAGATACTACGGACCATAGCTGGCCCAGATCCTTTCCCCTCGCCGCCGTCACCCCACCCTTCCATAGTCCCAATCCCTGGGAAGACGTACGTCATTCTCGTTAAGATTGCTGTACAACAGCTTCTTGTTGGACGAGTAAACAACGGTCGGCCGGTCGCTTGCAGCGAAGACGCTCACGCCGCCGTGGCCGCCACCGCTGCCCCTCAAGCTGCCCCCGCCGCCTCCACTAACCGCCGCCGCCGTACGGAAAGTACGGAGCATGATCGGCTTGGTCCCCAGCACCAACCGTTTCTTGTCGGACAGGCCTCCAGTCGCTGTGACGCGGATCGGGAAGCTGTCAATGAAGCTACGGATAAAAAGAGAGGTTGTTCCGGCTGTTTCTAACAGTAACGGTAACGGTGACATCCCCAAAGGCATCAAGTCCCAGAATTCCAAGCCATCGGCCCGTCTCTGCCATGACGTCAGATGTGACGTGATGAAGAGGGTGTTGCCCGAAATCCGCACAGCCAGTTGAGAAGTCCCTAACAACGGACGGGACGGAATCCCCTTCTCATTCTCCATCCCCTCCCCTTTTCACTCCAACCCCCCTCTCCCTCCCTACCCGCCTTCCCTCCCTACCCCCGTCCCTCCCTACCCCCCTCCCTCCCTACCCACCTTCGCTCCCTACCCACCTTCCCTCCCTACCCCCTTCCCTCCCTACCCCCTTCCCTCCCTACCCCCTTCCCTCCCTACCCCCTCTCCCCCCTTACCACCCAGCTTACCGGGATCCAGCCGCCAGGTGTGCAGGGCGCCATCACCCAGCCCGACCATGCAGTACGGCACACCCTCGAGCGCCGTACAGAGCACGGAGCGTGGAATGACCTCTCCACCCAGCGGCGTGGAAGACAGCGGCGCCAGGGAGGGTACCGACAGCAGTTGCATCGTCTGGTCCCAACGACCAACCGCCACCACGGACGACCGCTCAGCGGACCCCCCGCCGCCGCCGCCTATTGCCGTATTACCAGCGGCCGCGCCGTCACCTGCACGGTGATAGCAGGGCAATAGGGGTTAAATAACATCACTCGAACAGAGAACATAAACCTATGTGCTTCAGGACGCTTCAGGACGTCCGGCGGTGTTTCACCCTCCTCATCTCATGTCTTCCCCTTTTCCCCCCCCCTTTATGGCACTAACACGCACACACACCCGCACTACCACCCGCCCGCCTCCTCACCCTCCACCAATGCCAAGACCACCCCACGCAGCCCTCCACGACAGCAAATGACCAACACGGCTGAACTGTTTCCCCCTTCTCACCGTACTGTAGTACATACACAGGGGAGGCCACGGACCGACTAACAGCAGGCTGGCGGGGGCCCTCCCCCCCCACACACACATACTAGCCCAGGCGGGCAGCTTGCCAGCACCCAGCCAGAGGGGGTACTTCCCCCTCTCCCGCACCGCACCGCCCGCAGTCCCCCCTCCCCCCCTCAACCCCGGTGGTTACTACCCAAGTCACTACTGGCTGGTCACTACTGGTTCGTACAACTTCCTGCAGCATGCATCTGTCTATTCCTGGCATCTATACATGCATCTCTAGCACATCTGCTTTACTCGTGTGTGGTTCGCCTTCTGCCCCAGCCCTGCCCCAGCCCTCACCCCACCCGGCCACTCGCCTGCCAAAGGCTGCTGCTGCAGCATCAAGGGCGATACGTCCACACACGCCACCTCGGAATCTAAGACCACGTTGGAAATCTCAACCACCTCAACCACCCCCTCGGGCCGCCGTACAACCTCCAGATATACCAGATGGCCGCCGCCCGTGGCCACAACGACCTGTAGAAGATACGGTTGGGGGTTCATGTAATGCAAGGATGAAGCAAAGGATCGAACTGCCGAATTTGAGTTTATGGTTGCGGCAGAGGTGAGTACTGGAGAAGGGAGAAAAAGGAGGTCCGAAAGGAGGGTGGTCGCGGCTTTGTAACCGGAGATTCTGTGAGGAACTTGTGTGACCCGGTGGGGAGCGAAGGGCTCATGCAGGCTAGGGTTTTAGGAGGTGAAGAAAGGTAGGGAAAGAAGAGATAGGATAAAAGAAACTTGTCCAGTAGGGTTTCGGAGCATTTGGAACCGGTAGTGTCGTACTCGACCGACAGTCTTTCCAAACTGCGCCGCACCACACGGAACATGTCTCGTCGCTGCTGTGGCGCACAATGCTTCCGGATAACTCGAGAGCCATGAGGACGTACGGCAACGGTCACTGGCGTACGGCAATTTGAGCAATATAAGAGGTACGCACTAGCAAGACACGAAGGAAGGAAAGATGCGCATGGATGACTGAGCGGAGGGAGGTGTGTGTAGGGGGGAAAACATGCGTTCTTAACGTTACTTCTACATCTCCGACCGCCCTAGGCTGCTGGCCCTTGGGACCCGCATCAGGGCATCAGGGTATGTATGGGCCCCCTCCAGGGTGCACTTTTGGAGAGTTAAACGCAACTCCAGAAGGTGTAACGCACACATACAGACACACAGACACACACACAGACACACACACAGACACACAGACACAGACACATATATGCAACACACAGACACACATATGCAAAAACCAAAAAATCGACTACCGACGTCCAAAGTTGCAGACTGCTGGAGGTGGCGCGGGACGGGGCTGGGGTGTAATGATGGAGGGGTTGTGGCTGATGCTGATAGCCTGCCTGGTAGAGTCCTGAGGCGGCGGCTGCAGCTGGCCATGCAGCTGGCTAGCGCACCTGCGTGGGGCTGCCAGCAGCCACGTGGATGGCGAATCCGGGTGCAGGCCGCCACTCCGAAACCAGCTGCAGGGATGCCGTATCCACCAGCCGTACACTGGAGCTGGTGACCTGAGCGGGGTGATGAGGGATGGGACGGGGGCCGGATGGATGGCTATTGATGATGAGGGTGGCGCGATGACGGCATGGAGTGTGTGTGTGTGTGTAAGATGAACAACTGACGAATGGAGCAGATACCAGAAATAGTGTGTGTGTGTGTGTGTGTGTTCGAGGCTTGCTTTGGGTTCCTCCAGGGTTGAGCCGTATACTGAGGAAGCCAGGCGGGCGGGCGGGCGGGCGGGCGGGCGGGCGGGCGAGGAAGATGCGGATATCGGTTGGGGTTAGGTAGGTAGGAAGGGAGGGAGGGTGGGAGCTCCAGGGGCGGCAACGGCAAGGCGGGAAGAAGCACGAAGAAGAATAGGACACGGACGAGGACAACAATAAAGATTTCCAGACCATCCACCCGTCTCCTCCCAAGTCGACCGTGTTGAAGCCCTCCTATACATACTGCCGCACAGCTCAACGATGTGTTGCTGGACAGCGACGTTTCCCGCCTCGTTGAACGGAGCCCCCTACTCCTCCTCTTCCTCTTTGCGGTACGACACCGTTGTACGGCATACCACGACCGCGTAGTACCCCATCTCCACCTCAAAATCTCAACCTCGTCTGGGTTTATATGCCGGCTATCCTTTTTCAACGCTTGACCTTGATGCCCCTTCAAGCCCCAGGACGCCTAACCCAACCTGACGTCACCCACTTGCCTGAAGCAGGTGGTCGGTGGCCATGTTGCCGCACCACAGGGTTTGGGAGCCGCTGTCGAAACCGGGCAGTTCCGCCTCGTCGAGTTCCTGAAAAAAAAAGGGGCGGGGAAGTAAGTAAATGCAAAGAGCAAGAAAGCACATTGGGGAGGGGAATATGAGGCAGAAATCGCACGGTGATGCAAGAAACAAACTTTTTTGGGGGGGGAGAAAAAGGGACAGGCGGTATCGACAGAGATGGGCATATTTCACAGGAGCACATCCGCCGTACACCCACAGCGTCATCAGGCTTGTTACTAACTGAAAATAATGCTGCTACAGCCGAGGTACCGGTACCGGTGCTGCCACCAAACCCTAATTTCAACCCCTGAAAAAACCCCGCTCAACTACCATACCACCACCCAACCGCCAACTACCACCAACTGCTCCAATCCACCGGCGTGTCACCTCCTCCGTGTTGAGCGCCAGCAGGCGGGTCTCCCCCACGAAGGTCAGCAGAAGGTACTTGTCGTACTCGTCGTCGTAGTGGGAGCGCAGACTCCACACCCCCTGAACAGAGCGGTGAGAGCGGAAGAGCAAGAGCAGGAGGAAGGGGGCCATAAGTGGGGTATGATGTGGTATGCTATGCAAAGTCAAAAAAAGGCCCAGAGCGCCCAGGAAAAGGAGCAGATGGGAAGTATGAGGGCCAGGAGGAGTATGTCCCCGCGTAACGTATGATGTATAGAGATTCACAGAAAGAGTCCGGCGTCCGAAGTGTGAGTCCAGGTTCCCGAGTCCACATCCATCAGCGTCCATCTGACTACACTCACCACACTCTCCCCCTTCTCCGACGGCCTCGCCACCCGCGGCCCCTACCATCTGACGGGTCCTTCTCCCCTCCTTTCCTCATCCCATGATAGTGAGTACCGGAAAACGGCTTCAACATGGACACATGACAATATCATAAATATTTTTTTTACACCCAGAATAGAGGTTCCCGACTGCGAACCGCGTCAGGTCCTGATGCCGTTATTACCGCACTCGATTCACTCCCCGTACCCCCACAACACCCCCACCATACCCCCACCATACCCCCACCATACCCCCAGATCCTCACCTTGATTCCAGGAAGCTCCACAGTGGCCTGGCGGTTGATCCCGATACCGTTGCGAACCACCCGCAAACTGCCGTCGCTGTCGATGCCACTGCACATGACCAACTAAATGCACAGGTGGACAGACAGACAGACAGACAGACAGACGAAAGGACAGACGGAAGGGCGATAGGATGGCAGGGTTACTAGGTGGGGTGTTTGGAGGGGAGGGAGTGTCAAATATGTGTGTACGTGTGTATTTTCAGGAACAGAGGCGCGGGCAGGACCAGACGAGAAAAGCAAACTAGTGTGTATTGCCAGCGGCGTGCTACTGCCGAGTACTGACGCTGAGTGCTGCTGCGGGAGCTTCTCCACAACGCCTAACTGCTGAACAAATCAGCAGATGGGGTGAGCTCTGGCATGGTCAGCTTGTCCCTGCCCCACCCCACCCCACCCCACCCCACCCCACCCCACCCCACCCCACCCCACCCCACCCCACCCCACCCCACCCCACCCCACCCCACCCGACCCGACCCATTTGCATTAGAGTCCCGCCCGCAGCTTCATCCATAGAACCATGCCGCACCACCCCACCCCACCCCACGCCACTTCCTCCCCGCAACCCCCGGCCCCCCACCTGGCCCTGGCCCTGTCTCTCAAGGTCCATCACAACAAAGTCCACGATGGGCGCCAGGCTGGGAAAGCTGTCTACCAGCTCCAAGTAGGTGGGCGGCTCCGGAGCCGCAGGGGGCCCGGCTCCGGAACCCGCCTCATCGCCGTCCTCCATGGGGGAGGGCTAATGGGGTTGCATAGGGAGAGAACGGGGACGGAAAATGGAAGGGCACTGCACGTTAGCCGCAGCGCAAGTGAAACCAGTAGCCAGATAGCAGGCTGCGCCCGTCGTCGTCTAAGAATGGAGGAGGGGGAGATGGAGGGAGGGAGATGGAGGGAGGGAGAAGAGGAGGGAGGGGGAATGGGAGCAAGGGGGACAGACGCAGGGGGACAGAGGCAGGGACGATGGAGAGGTGGCTAGGGGCCGGCCCTCGTGTTCCTGTGCGAGGGAAAAGCACCAATCGAGACCTCAACTCCTCCCCTCCCGTCGCCTCTCCATCTCCTCTCCTTTCCCTACCTCCTTCCAAGGGACGACCTATCCTCCTTTCCTCGCCCCACTTTTGACTCGCCGTTGTGACCTTCAACCAATTGACCCGTGTTTCAACTTCCCCTTCCCCTTCCTCTTTCCCTTTTCATTCCCCTGCCTTGGTAAGTTTGGCACTCAGGGCTGCTGACGAATCCCCTCGTCATCTACGGTCCCCAATTTTCCGCTCCGACCTCCTTTCCCGTGTTTCTTTGGTTGGTTCCTGCATATTACCCCTTCCCTCCCCCCCCCTCCCCTCCCCTCCCCACCCCGTCGCCCGTTTTCCTCTCCCCCCCTGCCTCACCTGGTTTACTGGCTGTGCGGAAATGCGCACCAGCTGCGAGTCCCCGGACCTGCTCCCCACGAATGTGAGTCCGCTGTCCAAGTAGGCTAGGCAGGAAGGGGCGCAGGTGTAGCCTGAACAGGAGCAGGAGGAGAACCGCGGAAAACGGTAAGTGGAAGAATAGGAACGAAACGAGAGTAGGACACG